CGACGAAGAAAGGAAGGAAGGAAGGAAGGAGAAGGAAGGAAGAAGGAAGTAAAGTAACGTAACTAGTTAGTTACGTACTTACTTTTTTCTTTTTACTTTACTACTTACGTTCGTACTCGTATACTACTCTCTCTCTCTCTCTCTCTCTCTCTCTAGAATCCTTCAGCGTCTCTCTTTATGCCCTTCTCCCAGCTGCATTCTAATAGAAGGACATCAAGAGAGAGAGAGGGTTATCAGATTTTGGGTGAGAGGTTTCTGGGTCATATTTGAAGAGAGAAAGTGGACCAAGGGTTCTCGCTTAAATGTAGAGAGAGGGCAGGATGCTTTTCGGTTATGAAGAGAGAGGTTATTGGATTCATATAGAGAGAGAAAGAGGGCTTGCAATTTTTGTTTAAATGTGGAGAGGAAGGGGACTTGGCATTGGGCAGAGATCACAAAGGTAGAGAGAGACATGTTTTGGAAATTTAGAGAGACTACCGAATAAGCATTTCTGGAAACAAATGGTAGAAGTTTTGAAGAAGTAGCATTATTGAAAGACAATTAAAACTTGGACAGTAACATTGAGAAACTTCAAACTAAGGCGCCATTTTTGAAGTCATCACAACTTGGATAGCACAATTGAGATCTTCCTTTTTCTGAAACAATCAAAAGGATCACTATCACAGCCCTTGAGGAAACATACATTAAAACCAAAATTACCTGATTGAAGGAGGCCTTAGTGAACCATCCTTCTGCAAGCATATCATAGCAAAAAATCATGAATTTGTGGAATATAAGAATAAAGAAGGAATACAATGGTATATCTTTTTTTTTTTTTTAAGGAAGTTCACTAAGACATACAATGATATAACAGTATTTGGAAGGTCAAAAACTTCATAAACCCAAACTGTTGATCCTACATAACACTATCACAATAAATCAACACATAGTTATCTCCAGCAAAAAGTAACCAATAAAAAGCACTAAACAGAAGCCATAAAAACATAAATAAACTAAAACAAACATAGATTCCTATATATGATCCAAAAATGTAAAACTAGTAGTGAATACGATATTCAAACGAATGAGAAGCAAAATTTGCAAATAACAAAATTTCCTCAATAAAAAGAAATGATCTTCAGCAACTGTACTCAAATTTGTTTTGCCATTGGCACAATCAACCAAATCGAATTGATATGATAAAACTGAAGAAAATGAAGAAGAACTTGCAAATCAAATAAAGTTTGAACCAAGTCAAAACGTGCCAAAGTAGATTCGCATCAAATCAGGTCAAAGTTAAACTTTCTCTTTCCATAAGTTTGTGTCTGTTAATTTATGAAAGTTTCCTAGTTTCCCTTTGTCCCAAGACAAAGCACTACCTTGATTAAGCTAAGGCATTGCACAGTGCGACAAGCCAGAGCGCTGACCCAAGCACAATTGACAACAATAAAAGAAGATATCATGCCCAGAAGGTTAGACTCAGATGGAAGCATGTATTATCTTAACACAATGTATGGTAGTGATATCTCTAAGCTAAGGCCCTAGAAATATAGAAAATAAACAATTAAATATCCAAACCTTGGTCATCAATAAATAATGTGTGGGTTATTATTTGTATTTTCTAATCAAAATAGTAAAATGTTTCAATCACAAACCACAATTAATCATAACATATCAAATTGTAGCAAGCAGCATTTGAATTTTGAAAATCTCTACAGATGACATCGTGACAAGTTGAAGGGTTGCGCTAAGTTTCAAGGAGATGCAACTAATGCAGATCAAGAGATGGATGGATTCAGTATTTTTATTCTCGATTTTTAGGGGAATAAATTATTTCTTTATTTTTTATGGGTGTTTTTTATTTTTATTTTATTTTGTTAGGGTCAATTGTTAGAAATAGGATTAGTATAGGATTTTTTTTGGGTTAGTTTGATAAAGTCTATTGTTTTTTAAGGAAATACGATTTTTGTAGAAGGATAAATTCTTTTGTTTGGTATGAGTGCTTTTTTTTTGTTGGAAAGATTATCTTTTGTTTTTTTGGGATGTTTATTTTTTTAGAGTTTTATGGGATAGGAGTTATGGAATGGGAAGCTTATCTTTCATAAAGATAAGAGAGATAGACGGAAGGAGTCCGTTAATAAGAGTTATCTATTATGTGGAAGGGGATCATTTTTGTTTTGTAGGGAGATCTTGTAGGAGGCAGGTTGTAGGGAGCAAAAGGTGGCAGATCCCAATCTACAATCTATTGATTTTCGATACGAACTATACCAAAATCGACCTCGTTTCCCTTCAAATCATGTAGATCAACTAAATCCCATGATCTATTCTCCCGAATATGAGGCTCCTAGCATAGAGCACGTGCATAGATAGGGTTTTCGAATACAGCTTCCAGCTCACTACTATCATCATAGTGTGTCGAGGCAGGGTGCGCCAAGCATTGGGTTAGCTCCCCAACTTGCCTTTTCAAGTCTTTTATCTCAATGTCTCGAAAGTTTCGCTCTTGCTAGATGGGCTCATTCCCAGTACCTGCCGTCAAGCACATCCACCAGCCTTGATTCCTTATTGATGAAGACCAAGATCCCACAAGAACCGACGCTCTACTACCACCTAACGCAACTAAAAATTTACTGGTAGTTGGCTGCTGGTAAATTTTCAATTAAGTCAGCAACCTAAAGGACATAATTCAATGAAAAGGAAAACATGCATGATATGTGTTAACATTGGAGTCCAAATCAAAATAGAACTCAAAGCCAAAACATATAAATGGACTCTTAAACTTCCAAATCCATTGGAATCCAAATCAAAATAGAACTCAAAGCCAAAGCATATAAATGGACTCTTAAACTTCCAAATTCTTTGTTTAGCCTTGAGGCCCTTTTTAGCCCTCCATATTGGTAGGTAAATCCTTGCCTAAACACCAATGAATATTGGATGACAAATCACCATTTAGGAAGCAGCATCACTTTTTACAGACTCACACGAAGACATAAGATCAACATGCAAGCACATGATCATCAAATTATTTCTCTTTTGGCAGGGCCTCAAGTCTCAAGATAATTAATGTTACACGCCGTAAAGGAGTAACTTCCACTTTTCACCCTTATCCCCAACCATGAATCAAGCTATCTTCCAAAACGGAAGGAAAAGGCCACCGTGCATGAAACACAATAAAAAATAAAACACAAGCCTACCATGTGAACCTACAGTGATAACGCGGCCTTTATGTTGACTTTCAATGCCACAAAAAACATTTTCTTGTTTTTTGACAAATGACCAAAATAAAAGTTATGAAACTGGAGCAAACAATGCACTGCAAACTAAAACAGATCTTGTGGAAACGAATTGCAACTTCCAAAATCATATTAATCAAAAAGGAAAAACAATCCTCGCCTTTTTATGTAACCAAAATCGAAGTTGGGAAGAATCCAGTGTTAAGACAAAGTTTCTTTGAATCTTTTGCCAACTGATCTTTGGAATAAATTGACGAAAGAAAGAAGAAACCCCGAAGTGGGAATCTAAGATATTCCACATTGCCAACTAAATGTGTCAATTTCAAGACAGGTGGCCATAATATAAGTCATAATAGAGGTGAGTTCAGATTCTGATTGAGACGTAACAATCATGAATAGATATCTATCAGGTATTTGCTTCATTTGGCAAGTTAGAGGAGAATAATTCATGGTTGACAAAAAGGGGTACAAATCCAAATAATTAATTGTTTAGCCTCTCATAAGTTATGGATAATTTCTGGAAATTTTTTTCAGGCCAATACTAATATCACGAAAATTATTAACATCCCATTGTGAATCCATGATTTATCAACAGCATCCACAAACTTCTCAAAGAAAGCCAACTTAATCCCCTTTATCATATCCATCTCAGCTTCTTTATTTAATTTCCAATTGTACATTTCAACTGATGCCTCAATCCACTAAAATAAATGAAAATCACAAAATGTCGAGAAAACCTTTGCATGTCTACAAATTAAGTAACAAAGGATTGAAGGAAGTGGAATGTGTTATCCTGTTTAACCAGGAATCTTATACGCAAGCTCATTACCATGCTAAAGATGTTAAACTTGTGGTGTATCATATAAATTTCTCTATTTGAAGAAACCTTCATCGACACTGAAGTGCATCAATAATTCATTAATGTCCACTGACTACAAAAGGATTATCAGCACAATCAACAAACATAACAAATATGAGTTCAAAGTTAGTAAGAGAGAGAGGGACTAACCTTGTTCGATAGCAGAGAGCAATGAAGATTGGCGCTCAGGTTGAATAAATCCTCTGCAAATCCACAACCCATTGATTTCATCCAAACGCTCCCATGAATAGTTCTGCATTTTGAGCAATGACGCATCAACAGCTCATAGAAAATACAGATTCAAAATAGAGTAACACAAGTTACTCTCTTGTTTAGAGTTGATGAGAACAAATTTAGAGAGAGAGAGTACCATGGCGGGCTGAGATTGTGGAGTATCGATTTCGCTTTCTGATGATTCCCCAAAGACGTCTTTCAAAACCCTAGTTTCCTCGTCCATTGCTGCAAGAGTGCAAGAATCCGTACGAGACGAATGTCAAAGTAGATGAACAGCCATCAACAGCTCAAGTGGTACTAATAGGATCGTGTTCTGTAGCGTCTCATAAATAGTTCTAAGTTTCTAACGGTGGCAATGAACCGGACCCGGTTCCGTTCCCGAAAGGTAGACCCGATGTGGGTCTTGGTATAGGTCTGTTCCTAAAATTCGACGACTCGATGGGAAGGGAAGTATATATATATATACTATAATAATAAAAATAAATATATAAATAAAGGAAAAATTACATATATATACGTTATAGTTTGCGTTATTACGACTTTATTGAATAGGTTCCGTTATTAGCACCGTGTCTGTTTTTTTTATGTCAAAGTGGAAATTTAAAAAAAATACGACTTCATTTTTTTTGGGTTGTTCAACAACCGAAAATACAAAAATTTTGGTTATTGAAGAATGAAAAAATTAACCGAAAGTTTTGGCGGGTGAAATCAAAAGAGGAACAACTAGTTTAAGCCCCTAAATTGTGGAAAAATCTCAAGGATTATAAGATTAGAAGATTAGGAAAAATCTTATTGTGTATTTTCTCTCTACACGTGTGAAGTCAACAGCTAGTTTGAGCCCAAAATTTAAGATAAATCTCAGGGATTATGAGATTAGAAGATTAGGATAAATATTGTGGCATATTCTCTCTTTACCTCACTTGTGGTGTATTCTCTCTCTACCTCTCTTAAGTCATATGATAAAATCAAAAGGAACAACTAGTTTGAGCCCCTACATCAAAGGATAATGAAAAAGCTGATGACCCATACCATGATACCCGACTTTTAAGAAGAGATCTCTCGTCAATTCAAGCTCTTCTAGCTATGGTAATATCCCAGCCAATTTCCTCTCAATACACAGGGATGAAACTTACCCAAAAAAAAGATGCTCGGTGAAGGGGATGGAGAGTTTTTAAAAAGAAAAACCATTTTTAAGTGCAAAGTAGAGAGAGAATATGCAAAAGAGATAAAATAAAATTTTAGTTATTGAATAACTGAAAATATTAAATTTTCGGTTATCCAAAAATCGAAAATTGGGTTCTTCAAAAATCGAAATTAGGTTGATTTAGGTTTTTGAAAAACCGAAAATATGTAGTTTAGTCTTTTTTTAAAAAAAACTTATGAAGTTAAAAACCAGAGTCCCACCCAATTTCGGTTGTTAAACAAAAAATTGTTTTGTTCGGTTGTTCAACAACCGAAACCATAGCGACAAGTTTAAACGAGCTAATCCCGTTTTCGGTTGTTGAACAACTGAATATACATTGAATTCGGTTGTTCAAACAACTAAAAAAGGTAAAATCGTATTTTAAAAAAGATGCCGTTTTGACATGAAAATAACGGATACGATGGTAATAACGAAAACTATTCGGTAAATCCATAATAACGTAAACTATAACGGATATGTATGTAATTTTTCGAGAAATAAATAAATGTTTAAGATGATCTTCCAAACCTTTCAGAATTTTCAATTTTACAAAAAGTTTAAAACACTCTTTCTTTATTTTTTTTATTTATTTTCGGGTGAGTGCTCTCATTTTTTTTTGGTAAGTAAGAGTGTTTGTTTTTTTTATTTCAAACAAGTGCTCTCAGTTTTATTGGTAAGTAAAAGTGGGTAAGTTAGTGGGGCTTTTGGTGAGAATGAAATCAGGTACCTCATCATGGGGCTCAATAATACTACCACCAAAGCGCAAGTCATTATCGAAACAAGTGCTCTCATTAACTTTTAGTGTTTAAATACCCCAATCTTTGCCCCCTTTAAGGAAAAAAAGACCAATTACCTTTGTAGAAAGGACCATTT